TTTCTATAGAATCTGATATCTATAGAAAAAAATGTACAACACAACTGATCACATACAAACATAGACTACCTTGAGTAATAGGCAAACTGCGTAAGCTCATAAACAAGAAAAACAAAGCTTATAGAAAAAGGAAGAAAGATCTAGAAAATATAATATAGTTGAAACAAACAGTACAAAAAGAATTACGTACATAATATTGGAAATATATTGAAAACAAATATCTGTTATATACCAATAAACGAACCTGGTCAATATGAAACATCAAAAACAAAACCCAAAAAATCTTTTCAGTTACAACAAAAGTACTACGATCTGATTACGCTGGTGTTGCACCTTTGAAAAGAGATGGCAAACAACTAAAACGTATGTCGACATCAATGAAAAATGTTTATATTTCTTCTTTTTTTATATTTATGTACTGGCCTGATAATTGAGTACTTTTTATAACTTAGGATCGATTGTTTGACATTAAAGGAAATGAATTGAAAGTTAGAATAGCGAAATGTGTTGCCGGCATCAACAAAAGTTGTCAATGTTTTTCATTTGTTTAGAATAACATACAATGACATTCAAAATGTGTTTGTCTGTACCTCAGGATCAATAGTTTTACACATTTCAGAGCTCTATAAGTCTAAGATTAATAATACTTATGTCGATGCAAATAAATGGTGACAATATTTCTTCTTTTAAATACTATTCTTGTACTGGCCTGATAATAGAGTACTTGTTGTACATTAACATTGGTTGTTATACATAAGACTGAAGGCATTTGTTATTTAAATAGCAAAATGCGCTGTCAGCATAAACAAAAGGTGCCAATATTTTCCATCGTGTTAGAATATTTTACAACGGCATTAAAATTCTGTTCTCTAGGAACCTCAGAATGAATAGTTGTACATAAATTGAAATCGTATGCATGAACTTGCCTGATGAATTAGTACCTGTTGTACCTTAAAATGTCAGACATAAAAGTGAAGGAATTGAGGTTTCAAAATAGCCATATTTGTTGTATTCATCTATATATTGTGTCCATATTTTACCTTTTTCCTGATCATTCTGAGAAAAGGTGCTAATACTTCGTTTGTTTATAATATGCATGAACTTGCCTGATAAATAAGTGCTTTTTGTATCTTTAGATGGATTGTCAGGCATAAAGTGAAGGAATAAAGGTTTCAAATTGCTTTATTTGTTGTATTTATATATATGTTGTGTCAATATTTTCACCTTTTTCCTGATTATTCTGTACCGTCGTCAAAATTAAATTTTTTTAATACCTCAGGATGGATAAAAAATTGGGACCAGCATTAGTCTATGGTTATTCATACTAATTTAGATAAGAATAAAAAATAACAATATTTTTTTTATTATTAACTTTCTTGTTCCGGCTTCATAATTGCGTAATGTTATTACCCCAGGATAGATTGTTTGACATAAAATCATGATATACTGTATGACGTTCATTTTCACTGAACTAGTGCACATTTTTATTAAAGGGCCAGCTGAAGCCAGCCTCCGGGTGCGGGGTTTCTCGATGTGTTGAAGACCACTTGGTGGCCTTGGGCTGTTTCTGCTCTTTGGTCGGGTTGTTGTTTCTTTACCATATTCCCTATTTCCATTCTCAATTTTATCAACATGCTGACATGGCTGGATTGTTGCAACATAGAAATGGAGAGATCACAATTGTGAAGCCGAAACAATCTCTTTGTTCGTAATATTTTGTGTTCAATCGACCTCCTTGTCAATTTCTAGACGCCGGTCTAGAGATGTAATGTATTGGTTGATCGAAAGACTGAACCTTTGAATATTTAACGAGCCCTGTAAATGTACCTGTATCGAATTTCATAAGGGACGTATTTTCGTGGTCTTGATTAGTTAAATACCCTTAAAATGCGTCTGATCTGTACTTTTTACTGATCGATCTGTATTCCATATTGGAACGTTTTGCGTGAGCTTATATTTGTAAATCGGCGCAGACCTACATAGCTGGGTACAATTTTTTTTTGTTAAGAGTTTTAAAAAGCGACACAACAGGTTTTGTTATTCTGATTGTGTGTGTTGATTGAAGAGGCTTGAACATCAATACACATCTGTCGCCTTTAAACACAGTATTGAAAAAAAAACAGTATTTTGTTATTTTATTGCTGATTAATAAAAAGCTTAAACATGTCTAAAAAAAGCAAATACAGTGATACATCAACCTAAGGTCAACCAAATAAACAATTAATAAAACAATTTCACTCAGAATGTACTCCTTACGAAATGACACTATCTACCTGCTATATATGGTCCACATATTCGACCAATTCAATGTGCGTATTACTATATATATCAACTGTAATATATTAAAACGTGTATTTGTGTGTAATTTTTAAATCATGATTCTGACATACGGTTTTGTATACGTAGACAAAAATCATAAACAACATTTGTCAAAAATATATTTAAACTGGTAAAATTGGTTTTTGTTGGTTCGTATTGGTTCTTAATCTTGGTTGTTTGTCTTTTTTCTAAAATTAAGATTTAAGTGTGTTTGAATGTAGTAAATATTAAAATGAAATTTTGGAATAATGAAGGTGATTTCTAACTCAAATTTGTAACTAGGAAATAACATATTACTTTAAAGTGCACGATGCAAGTCAACTATATCATAAACCTAGTTAAATCGAACCGATGAAATAACGGTAATGATATTTGATTGTATCAATGTAAACCTGCAAAACCTAAGCAAAAATATTGTTATTTTGTGCATTTTAAACTGGTAGATATGCATGATTTTACCCTAAATCTTTAATTGTAAAAATGAAAATATGCATGATGAAATGAATTAACCCATAACGTACCACAATAAGGTCGCATTTAATCATTCATGATTTGAAGATAAAAACTGATCGCTTTTTCCAAGGTATTGTGCATATCCTATAAACTGTTCTAAAACATACACACACCACTAAATACATTCTTCTAAAATACATAATATTTTATCCAGGTGACATCATATTTATGATTTTAATTTTAATAGTTATTATAATGGTCTTGAATACATTCACATAACTATTCTAACTAAGAATTATTAAGGAGTATATTAAACGTACATTAAGCGTTTGATATACACCAGTTCTATATATATCACGATATATGTTCTATTGTTTAAAGAGCAAAGAAATTAAATTCAACAAGAACAATAAATCAAATGAAAAAATCAAAATAAAATTAAATTCCAATTGTTTGGAGAACAACTGAAGGTCTTTCCACCTCATGTGATGATGATTAAGATTTAAATGTACTGTTATACAGATATGATTTTTTTTTTTACATTACAAAAAAAGTTACCTTTTGAAACAAACAAAAAAGGTGAAAAAGATAACTAAGCTTACACAGATGCCAAAAATACATAATTTGTTGTTCTTTTCTTTGGAATACTGGAGCTGATCAGCTATTTTTGGTTTAAAATCTTGAATAAGTCACTTCCAATGCCATCTGATTTTTTTTGTGATTCCAAAAATATAAGATTTCCATGTATTTCCGTTTGAAATATTGCCGATAGTTGGCTATATCCGGTGAAGAAGTGTTCATTCTTATGTTATATGATAGCTTTCTTTACACTGAGCCAACACATGTATGATTTCCTTATGTCTGCTTGCACTTAGGAGATAATTTGCTACCTCTGGTTGGCAAAATATCACTTCCCGTTCATATGATTCTGAACATACGCAATTGTGAGGTACATTTACAGAGAATAAGTGGGAAAAAGCTAATTCCTGTCACAAGGTCAGTTCTGTATGCTTGTCTTCAGTTACATTTGTCGTCCAGTCTAATGAATATAAAAACTTATGACTCTATCATGTCCCAGTAATACGAGACAGGTGTTATATGTGAAAGAAGAGATGTCTTTTAGCAAACCATGTAAAACTGTCTTACTATTTTTTTTTCAAAATTAATTTAATTGAAAATTTAGATCAATATTTGTAAGGATATCATTAGATTTGTTTAATGACATTTCAAAAACCATTGACAATAACCAGAAAAAGCTTGAATAAAAAAAAATTTAGCTTTGCTTAATTTCTTGCATGATTTGTTGAAAAGTAAGCTCGGTTCAAAATATCACCGTCGTTATTGGTCTGGCATAAGCATTTGACTTATGACGTCTTTAGAAACGCGGTCTACACGATAAAACGTACAGTTCAAAATTAATAATACGGCCTTGAAATTTGAACATCAAGTTCCTGCATTTTCATCAAGGACATGATATCTAAAGCCTCTAGGTCTCTATGTTTTATTGTTGTTCAGTTACGTTGACATACCATATATGTCTAACATAGACGGCTTCGGTCGATTAAAAAAAAATCATCCTGAGAAAGTAACACAAATTTTGAAGAAAACAATTGAGCGATAACTTTTACACTTTTTGAGGAGAAGCGATTACTAGAAAAACAGAGATAACTCTCATATTGAAAAGTGTTCAGTTAAAATGGGTGAGTTTCAATAATTGTTTGATATTATATACCAAATATGTTATATATATGTTGCAGAACAAAAGTATCGGTAGAAATATAAAACAATCAGATCAAAATCAAAAGGTCGGTATAAGGAGAGGTGGAAAAACATGATAAACAAACACATAAAATCAAATAATAGTAAAATCAAAAACAAAGCAAAAGCATGAAGTAACAAGGCGTAGTGTTTCAAATCAATATATACAATTACAAATATTTGCTAACACGAACTTGACCCAATGTATTAAAACTATAAAACTAAAAATAAATACACAAAGAACCGATCTAGAAATACTCACAGCTACTGAAAGCTAGTCCAAAGCCAATTTTGAAATAATGAATGAGTTCAGGTTTCCCCAGACTGAAGTTTCATTTATCACACCCATTACGGATAAAGTGTGGAAAAGTCATAAACAGCCTGAGAAAAGCATGACCACGTACAATACCTTTTAAGTCAATTTATCATATTGTGTATCCTAGTATACTCTACATTTAAAATGTGTTGTCATGGTTTTTATTATCATCTTGTTGAACTGTTTAAAATGATATTTCCCGCAGGCAATCGATTTTGCCAATTCTTTGTAAAACTTTAATCAGTTCTTTAATTGTTGGCTTTGGAAATTTTGTCTGGCTCCAAACTCGTAATATTTCTTTATTCTGATGTAACAGCTTACAGCTGTGATCGTTCTGAATTCCTTCAATCTCAGCGCTCTGCAATCCAAGTTCTACTCCAAGCTGTATGCCGCTATTTCCTATATGATTGGACAGCTCCTGTAATGTAGTGATCGTAGGTGTTTTGTTCGCTTGATCTTCTAGAATACCTGAAAGTAAGGGTACACTTCATGATAATTTCATTCACATCCATATATTGGATATTTCAAATCATATAAATACTGTACTCCGGGGAAAAAGTAATTTATCATAAAAAATGAAGGCATCAGTTTATAAATATCACGTGACCGAAGCGCTGTTCTGATTGTACCTTCATCGTGAACGTCCAAAAGCCGAATATTTAAAATACATAAATCGAAACTATTAGAAAGCTGTTTGACAAAAAAGGACATACAAATCATAGCAAAAACTCATTTAAGGTTAATTTTCCTAAATAAACGTCACATTGATTTACAGTACATATTTAACATTCTCTCCCAGATTGATCAAAATTCTAGTATTTATTAAACTGTAAGATACCAATTTGGTAAGTGCTGATTATTAAACCTAAGTGTCCCGTTCAAGCACATCTGCATGTTATGCTGCCAAATAGTTTGGTTATACTAAAATTGAAGCATAGAAAGACAAAAAGGTCAAATAAATACCTAGATTTTGATTATTTTTATCAAATCAAATCATTACATAACTGCTGTATTTCATTTTACCAGTAGAAAATGTGTTGTACAATTGTATTCTGATTAGGTTGTTACCTAACAGAGGAGCATTGTTTAATAAAAAGAAATCCCAAGATTTTCAGAAAACATAACTTAAATGATCACTACATTTGTATTACAGTTAAGGTAAGGTTTGCGTACACAGGGAGATAACTCGAATTCAAATAATTGAAAAAAGGAGGGACCCGCCATTTTGAATTGCTTTGATTAACCAATGTTCGATAACTACAATATTATCGAAAATAAAACAACACCTACCTCAAAATCGCCGTTTTGATGTAATTTTATCAAAATTAGAATTGTACAAGTAACGTTATGACCTTCAGTTTGTTAGTTTTCATTTATATGACGTCACGTTAAGCCAAAACGTCTTTGTGCAAAAACCATTCATAAAATTTCGCGGAATTTTATTTTATTTCATAAATGTACATTTTTATGCCCCCGCCGTAGCAAACGGTTTTGAGTTTTATCCTTGTCTGTTTGTACGTCCAACCGAATGTACTTATCAAAGTGTACGTCCGTTTTTACAAAATTGGTTTCCGTTCTCTAACTTAAGTTTGCCTCAACCAACTGATATATAAAACTTATGCACAATGCTCTTTACCACAAAAACACAGAATAAATTTGAATTTTGATGTCGTCACTTTTACAGTTCTAGATTTATGAGGGGTCGGACAGGGTATACCTTTCTCCTTTCTCCTTTCTCCCGTCCCCTTTCTCTTGTAGCCGTAAAACCTAAAAAAAACTAATGTATGGGAAGCTCATTTCAATAGAAATCGATCTAATATCTTGTGTTTTTATGGCTAGTCCCCGTCTTGTCCTTTCACAAGATAGAAGTGTTGTTTATTCTTCAAGAACCTCGATAACTTTTTCCCTGACTGTTAAGCTGTCTCTTTCATTGAATTTGTAAGTCTGATGCACGCCGTTTCCGATTTTTCATAAAGTATAAATACAAATTATAGAAACGCAGAATTGAGTGAAAAACGGCACATTTTTGTGATACTTTTAGTCAACTTCGTTTAAAATGGTTGGAATTTACATAATGCGCCATGTGTTTTACTTATAGAGGATGCATATATATATTCTCAGATATTTTTATTGCATAATTTTTACGAATGACAGAATGTTGAACTTGGGTCTTTTCAAATGTACAGTTTGCAAGGTTTATCCGCAAATACGCACACAACCCACACTTTTACATCATTCGAAATATATGCCATTTTATCAATCACTTTTACAACTGACGGAATGTTTCTTATCGTAATTTCTTTTATGGATGCATTAAAAATATGTCTTTCAGACACAACTATTGTATTGTGTAGTCCTGAACATGCCTGAAGTATTTGCCACCGGACATTTAACAACCTCTAATCAAACAAACTTATATGCATATCAGTCAACTTTGAATCAATTTATCTAAAAACAAGGATGGTAACATGTGTCTCTACACATGCACGGACTCACTATAAAATCCGGGAAATTGTTAGTTTTCAGTCTTTCTCTATATATATAAGAGATCATAATGAAGTAGTGACGACGCTTGGAGTATTTTTATGAGGTCGTTTTCTCAATTTTTCGTTTCTGTTCTCTACCTTTAGTTTGCTTCAACCAAATGTTATAAAATTTATACGTAATGCTTTATAATGTTTTATGTTTATGCAAGAGGGGCATCATCAGTGTCCCATGGACACATTCCCCATTTATTCTAAGCTCTTACGTATTATTTCTTTTTGTAATGCATTAGAATCGGAATTACATTACTGTGGTTGAAGAGTAGTCACAATCAATTTTGATTTGACGGTCGCAAATTTCCGTTTTACGGTCTCCCCTACGCGTCGACAGTAAAACTGCATTTGCGAACATCAAATCGCCAATTGACGGTGGAGACTCCTCAACTACAGTGCCGTTACTCCTGTGAACTTCATTGAACTGATTTTAATTTATTGAAAGTATGTAGAAGATTTTCATATCACAGGTCTACATAACTACATTTCTTATTTTAAATATGAACAATACATATACGGCTGGTCATTTTTATTCCCAGGCCATCGTCTGTTTCGTCTTTCATCATGTATAGGAGCATGTAGTTTGTTTGTTTGGTCAAAGACCCCAAATCTGAACATCATGTGTAACAATTGGACAAATCATGCTAGTAATCTATCTTTCTCCTGCAAGGCTTTCCCCTGCTTCGTCATAAATATTTGAATAACATTTGTTGATGTCTAGATTTAAACTAATGGAATAAACACGGCTGCTGTAAATGACTTTACTAGTCAAAACTGATGTCTTTTCATCCAATTGCTGCATAGAAACAGTTTACCAAACATGGGGAAATAAAGCTATTTTCATTACTTTTAATGGCAATTTGAATGCTTTCCTAAGATTCAAAATATTACAGTTTGAAGCACTGAAAGAATATAAGTGTTTCCTTCAAAATCAGAGTCTTGTACATGTATTAATACACAAGTATGACCAAATTTAAACACCTCCCCTTCCGACTGATAGTTGTGGGCATAAAAGTTAAGGGACGACATCAAAAGTTCAATGTAGGATAAAAAAAAAACTTAATTCACAGTTTGTTCACTGACCCCCCCCCCCCCCTCCCTCCTCTTAACTTAATTTGGAAAAAAAATGATTGACCAATATGGATATATGTAAAATCGATATCAAATTAACAAAACTTGCAGCAACTTTTATCCCTCCCCCCAAACTACTTGAATTAAGTTTTTTTTTCCCAAAGTGTAACAAGACAAAATGATTCTTTGTAAAAAGATGCTATTAAAGATGACTTTCTTCTTTGGAGATCAACAAAAAAAAATATTTTTGTGTTTTACAGAAATGACAAGATGAACACATAACGCCCATTTCCGTAAAAACGAGTTCGGGGACATACCAATTTTATTAGCTCATTATAATGCAAATAGTTAAATCCTTAAGTTCACAGTTTTTTTACAAAAACGGTGGACCCGGAAAAGGGATATTTTTGGCTTTTTGTTGCCATGGCAACGGGTTTTTTTTAACCCAAAAATAAAAAAATCTTGTTTTTAGGAACTTTTTTATGATTTTTTTAATTAAAATTTATTATTAATGAATGGACCACAATTATTTATACATGTTTTATTCAGTTTTATTTTTTTATAGTCACTCGCATACATTATTATTTCAGAAGAATTCAAATACAATTTTCCCTAAAAAACGTCAATAATCGGAATTTTGAGCTTTTCACCTGAAAAAACAGGACGGGCGATGTTCGATTTTTTTTTCATTAAATGATTGGGTACTCCTCCCTGAACAAAATGATGTATCATATTGGTATAATATCACTAAGAAAAAAATCCAGATTTCCTGCAAACCTTACCTTAATCACTATCATTTACACTACACACCAATACAAATCTGAAATGGACAGTATTTGCACTCGACTTTACTGATTTTTACTCGACTATTCTGAATTTGTTCGTAAATTTTACACGATATTTCGTGACTCTAGTCTGACAATTAACTGTTTGAACTCGTAATCGACCAGTTCGTAACCATTTTTTAAAAGTCGGAATCATACTCGACCTAAGTCTGAACCATGCTCGACCAATTCTAAAACCTAACCCGACCAACTAATAAAATCTATCGACCTATCCTCAATCTCTCTCTTATTTTTTATCTATTTAGTCTCAGTTTTTCAAACGTTGTTTCCTTTGAAAGGAAATTTGAACAACAGGTATTTGATAAGAAAGTGATTTGTTGGATAAGAAAAATCAATGTTAGAATTAGTGTTTTTTTTTTTTTTTTTGTTAGATAATTTATTGTTCAAAATTTATTAAGTAGAGGTTCATTGGTCAAGTAAGGTTCAGACTACAGTCGAGTATTGTTCAGACTTTCAAGTCATATGGTCGAGTGTAAAACATTGAAAACAGGATGATAACTGGCTAAGTACAGGTCGAGAATGGGTTAAGATCGTTTAAGCCTGGTCGAGTATGATTTCTGACTTATCGGTATGAGTAAAAGCAGGGTCGAATACAAGTTCGAACTGTTTGGCATGTTTCGTATGGTAAGGACAACAGTCAAGTAATATCAAGAAAAAAATTCAAACCAATTTAGAATGGTCGGATAAAAAACAGTACATTCGAGTACAAAAAGTGCCCATTTTAGACTTTTGCTGGTTTGTAGTGTTATTGATTGTTCACCAGTATCACAACAAAGGTCAAATACAAAGCTTCTGTGCTTCTACATTATTACCGTTTGTGTCATAAGCCTTTCTGTTACTGGTATTACCTGTTTACGCCCTTGGTTTTCTTATATTCGGCTTTTGAGTGTTCTTGCTGACGGTAAATCTAGATAGGAGCTTCGGATGCATGCAATTATGAACTGTACTGTTCATTTTGTTTCCTCTGATTGTTGACTACTATGTTTGTTTGTTTTTCTTTCTTTTTTTTTATTTTTTATGTATTTTTAAGACATTATTTGTTTAAATAGGACAAAACTAAATAGCTCATCAGTACAACAACGAATACGGCAATCAAACAACGTGTCAAATTGTTAAGTGAGATATCAGCTTATTATGTTATCATTAAAGAAATCACATAATGATAAATTATATAATTTAAAGTAACGCCTCCCCATAGTTACAGGCTGGTTTACAATGCAAATAAACTCATCATAAATATCAGAATTACAATAACGTATTTCAGACAAACATTTTGTCTCCATGAGACTCACCAGCGAGGCTCTTATAAAAAAGGTCAATAAGTCCAAATCATGTATGAAGTCAAAGAGCCAAAATTCCGAACGGATTTGTCAAATACAACAATTCAACTTTCATAGTATGCTATGTATTACGAATCAAAATAGTATTGAACTTAAATACAAATTAATTGCATTTGAATGTTACACATATAGCCCTTGCAATTGGTCGTTTCCACGAATACGTAGAAGATTATTATTAATATTATTATTTAGAGAACATGATGTCCGTAAATAAACAAATGGTCAAACCACTTTGTTTGTTAAGGTAGCTAGGATGTCTCCTCCATCTTGAATTGTAAAACAGAAGACCACATTGGTCCACATCTTTAACGAAATGTGCAAATTGGGAGAATAGGACATTATTCATTAGAAGGACTTTTTATATTAACATAATTAATACGGATCATATTTTACGGATGTATTTTCATAAACAACATATTTCTATTTGTTCATTTTTCCGATTTACATATAACTGGTTTTGATGTTGATGACCAGGAAATACACATTTTGTGAGAAATAAATATATCAAAGAAATCAATCAAGGTACAGGACCTTGTCTAGAAACGAAAAAAATCTACAGTGGATACATCTATTTGTTTCGTCGAATGAAGATTTTTGTTGCTTTTTTGATTTTTTTCCCTTTCCTTTGAATACCACTTCAAATACCTTGATTTTCATAATTTTACACATGCAAAATGTATTTAATCAATTCTTACAGCACAAAGGCATGCATAAAGGGAAGTACAATGGCTCGATAGCACAATAATTGCAAATTAGATAAATCACACTGTATTTTCTCAATAATATTTTTACATTGTGGTGTACTACATTAGGGACAAATTATATCAAAATAATAGTAAATTCTTCATCTATGACTCAAAATATGGACCATTTCATATTGAAAAGGTTATGAATTTCGTTTGACAGTTTATACATACAAACTGTTTAACATTTTCAGTTGAACTCAATTTTTACTTTACATTAACATTAGTTGCCCTTTTTTCACAATGTGAATTCGTTCCTCTACATGAGTCAAAACACATGAAGAAATAAATTTGTACTTTACCTTAACATTTATTGCCCAATTTTTTCACAATGTGCTTTCATCCCTCTACATGAGGGTTAAAGCATGAAGAAATAAGTTCGGAAGATGAGTAAAACATATCTGAAAGTAATACTCTGCCAACGCTAGGGACTATATTTTTAGGTAACGGTTAATAGAGGTGATATATGTTGAGTCAGGCCCACCATCAATGTTATACCTATGTTAAAATTATCATATTCTGTTTAGAATGAAGTTGCATGAATAAAAACCTATTTTATCTAACTGATTGTGAGTCTAATTGAGATAATTCCTTTGAAATCGTCTTTTCGCTAGTTGTTTACCTGGCTGTCGAATTCTTAATGAGCTATTATGTAATGATTCACAAATTTGTCCTATATGTGCTAAAAAAAATACACGATATGAAAATAATTTAACACTTACCAAACCTCTTCAGTACGTCATCTACATTTACATCTCTAAACACCTGAAATTAAAGGAGCGAATTTAGATATCAATTAAAAATAAACTGTTCAAATACATGTTCTATGAATAACATGAACAAACAACACGCATACAAATATATAAGCTGTTGAGAGGTATGTAATTCAAAAAATATAAGTCGTTCTCTTGAAGAAAAAAATCACATGATAGATTTTAAATCACATAGAAACAAATTTGAACATTATAATCATGTTACATTGTATATCTAGTATAGTATGAAGAACAAACAAGCACATAATACAAGTAGATACAGTCGTGTTTTTTAACAAGACGCACACTCGAAAGAAAAAATTCATCGATATTCACCGCCTCGGAGGGCTCGTTGTAGCGCGCTCGCATTGAGTGTGAGAGATTGTGGGTTCGAACTTTGGCCGGGTCAAACAAAAGAATCGTAGATTGGTATTTGCTGTTTCTCTGCAAAGCCTGCAACATTTACGAGTAAGAGGAAAGACGGGTCGGATCGGAGTCGGAATAATGTGTCCATGAAGGGTGACATGTCACTATAACGTGATAAACTAGCACGTAAAATATCTGGCTCAAGATGTCAGTCAAGACTAAAGCAGGTCCATATTTCATATCACACAATCATATGCTCGTTCATAAAATGTATTTAATTTGACACTGGATGTTAAACAGCCATCCATCCCTCATCGAGATTCAAAGTCATTTGTACCATGCTCCTCTGCACCATAATACCTTTGCGTTATGTCAATCGACATGAATCACTCAAACAAATAATCTATATGAAACGATAGGTTTCGTACGTTAAATCAGAAAGCCAGAACTCAAATGTATTTATATATGAAGGTTCAACGAAGCTATTTAACTTTGTGTGTATAAACCATACTGTCTCGTCTGTTTCAAGCCAAGCTTTGTAATCGAGTGGTAGTAGAAGGTAGCTTTCTGCCATCAAGTTTGCGCCTTTGATAGCTTTCTATGGAGTTTCAGTTTTGCTCATTATTGAAGGCATTAGCGCGATCTGAAATTGTTTTTGTCCCTGTCTTTTGGTCTTTATATTTGTATAATTTTCGCATTTTCAATCATATCACATATCTTTACCGCTATGCATTGGTTGCACACTGTGTTAAAAAAAAAGAAGATTTGTTATGATTGACAATGAGACAACTCTGCACAAGAGACTGACATTAACAACTATAGATCATCGTACGGCCTTCAATAATGAGCAAAGGCCAAACCGCATAGTCAGCTATAAAAGGCCCCGAAATGACAAAATTCATGTAAAACAATTCAAACGAGAAAACTAACGGCCTAATGTATGTACAAAATAATGAACGAAAATCAAACGTGTTACATAGCAACAAACGACAACCACTGAATTACAGGCTCCTGACTTGGGACAGGCACATACATAATGTGGCGGGGTTAAACTAATTAGATGGCGACAATACATCCCCTCACCTGGGACAGTGGTGTAACAGTACAAAATCAGAACTAAAAAGATCATTTGAAAAAGGCTTAACTCATCAGATGGTTACAAATAGAAATACTTCTAACACAAATACTGAGTAGACGTGGAAGGGTACTAATACATCAGCACAACAGAAATACACTAATTATAGATCTGAGAGTACTCGCAGTTACTGACAGCTAGATCAAAGCCGATAACAACTAATGAAAGAAATCATGCATCTGAGACTAGAATATCAATAAGTACACCCCCAACATCCATTGGATTTAGTGTAAAAAACATGACTTTAAGTCAATATTCATCTATATTATATTTAGTTGTAAATGAGATGATACATAGCTTACGATTATTCATACCTCACACAGTAAGTGTTTGTCAGTTTCATCAAACGCATCTTGAATTGTCGTGAACGACGAATCAGTCACACTTCCCTTCCATCTTAACATGGCTGTATATTTGAAATCATTTTCATGAAAAGCAGAGGGAGCAAATTTGTCTTGCACATCATTCAAGACTTTAGCGTCTAATCCAAGTCTTATCAACAATTCGCGACAATCTTTTACTTCAAGACTAGAAGCCAGTCGTCTTAGGTGTTTGTTTGATGGAGATTGTTCTATTTCCAGTCTGCCTAACCCTCTTGACAAATTAAAGACAAAACATTATATAAGAGGCTTTATAATTTATGTCTATTCAATTATCAAACCAAAATGAATACAGTTGTTCCTGTATAGAATTATTCTTGTTAAAACAATTGGAAATCAAAGTTAAACCCAAAATAACAAATTCTAGATTTTAGTAAGAGATAAGAGAAACACATACCTTACCTTCTCACCCGGTTACTCTCATTGTCGATTTTTTGTTTATCGTCTTTATAAATTTAGGATTTGAAGACCGTTAATTTATTGTTACTATTAAGTTAGTATGTTTGAACATATGCTGAATTATTCACAACTAGAAATATTAATCAGTTGAATGTATATGGGACTGCCGGACATATTTAATTAGTATACTGATTCAATAAGTGCGAATTAGAAAACAAAACCAAATCATTGAAGATAACAGGCTAATAGTATCATAAGCTAGACACATTTTCCATACACCACTGCACTTATCTATTAAACATGTATGGTAAAAATTAAAACAACACGTTATACATTGCTTGCGTAAGAAGCTATTTTCTTGATTTACCTTCATCAGGAAGGCTCAAAGCAGAATATTTGAAAGTAAATAATATATCAAAACCGAAAAAGTTGAAGAGCAATATGACTAAAAAAGGACCTGGAAAGTCAGTAATATTTATACTCTGGATGTACTTTTCTTTACTCGGGATGTACTGTTTGTACTCAGGTACAAAGTATAGACGATTAATCAACAGTGACACTTTTTTTTCATACTGTTTGAGAGTTCCATTATCATGATTATGTTCTTTTTTTTTTACATTGAAAATTAGGTACGTCATATAGCTTAGCAATTTCAGCCTAAACTAGGTTCATACGTTTTGATGATATAAATGTACAGTTACTAAATGTGTCTAGGCATTTATATAGATAAAGAGTGTTTCAATTTTATCTATTATTGAAAATGATGTACCTGTATTGGAAATCTACGGAAGCGTATTAGCGCCACACAATTTGTTTTTTATAATTTTCTTCTTATCTTTGCGATATAACGCAAATCTTTGCGAAATAACTCAAACCTTTGCGTTATAACGCAAACCTTAGCGATATAACGCAAACCTTTGCGAAATAAGGCAAACCTTTGCAAAATAACGCAAACCTTTGCGTTATAAGGCAAACATCTTGATTTCAATTATTCATTAAGTTTTGTATATATGTCCGTCTGTCGTTAAATTTCTGTTGTGATTTAGTTAGGAAAAGAACCATAAATACAAGGACAAAGTCATTATAATAAATATGCATAGGAATCAGAAAAGTATATAATTTAACAAGAAAATAGAAATGTTATAGGCATATTTTAAAATTTTGATTTAGGAAAATAAGAGCAAAAATAATGTCATACAATTGTAAAACTGTCAAGTCAAATAGACAAAATGATTCTTCTGCTGTAAAATGAATTATTAAATAAGAATTTGTTTTTTAAATTTTGATGTAAGAAATCGTTTTTTAAAATCTCAGAATATGATAAAAATTCTTTGGTAAAAAGTCATGAAATATTCAATCTAGTGTGGTAATTTGGTAGCAATTTAAATAGAGAGAACATAATTTTCTTAATAAAACATCTTCATTTTATTCATTTATTGCAAAAGGGTAGTTAACCAACCTTTCACAATCCTCAAACGAGATCTTAGTTTGGAAGTATATTTATATTCGGCTATAGCTATATTAGCAGGGTTGTTTTTTTTTCTTCGGTATAACTTTAATTTACTCAATTTTCATTGTAATATATGTACATGTATTATCATGTATAACATTTGGGGGGGGGGGGGGGACTTTAAAGTTCGATGTGATTCAATGCTCCGTGTTGAAGACCGTACTTTGACCTATAATGGTTTACTTTTACAAGTTATGACTTAGATGGAAAGTTTTCTCATCGTCACTCATACCACATCTTCTTATATCTATTATCCTGCTCATTATTTGTTAAATAGTAAAGCATTTTACTTTGCAATGAGTACAAAGAAGATATATTTTAATATATGCAGCCTCCTCAATTAATAACTGCTGCTTCCTTCGAATCTTAAATAACAAATAAGATAAAACAAATGTTTGCGCTATATCGCAAAGGTTTGCGTTATGTCGCAAAGGTTTGCGTTATATCGCAAAGGTTTGCGTTATTTCGCAAATGTTTGCGTTATAACGCAAAAGGTTTGCGTTATTTCGCAAAGGTTTACGTTATAACGCAAACGTAGGAAGAAATATCAAAAAAAAGTTGTGTGGCGCTAATACGCTTCCGTAGAAATCACTAGTCAAATGAAATTTGTTACTTGATAGTAGGATACAGTTACAATCAGTGTCAGTTTTAATAAGAAAGCCATTTCTTTTTCATGTTTTGTTTACAATTGTTTAACTATATATGAAATGATGAAATTAGCAGTGTATCTTTAGTTGTATTGTTTTACATATAATTAGATCGATACAAGCGTAAAGTTAATTAAATAGGATAGGGTCAACACATTTTGTTATCGAATAGTATATACTAATATAGGATATAAGTAATATTGGTATCCCAAGAAGAATTTGTGCAATCAAAGGGAAACAATTAAACGTAACATAAATAACGTAATTGGTCATTACAAATGCAAACGATATAGTATGACGCATCTTCAGTACATACCAGCAGGTAAAGTAAGTTAACCTTGCTCTCAATACCTGTAACATTTTATAATATGATATGATAATGTTAATGTACTTGTTTGAAATTATCATTACGTTGAACTCAAATAATTTGTATGCATCAATGTTTATTGGAAGTTTGTTTATCAACTTTTATAAATTCACAACTTGAAATAACAAAGACAAAGGGTTGCTAAATCAAAACACTAGTTAAATCCCGCAGCACTAATTAGAATTATGTGTTTTTTTTTTATTATTTCAAAACCGTGTGACGCAGATGCTACGCCGTGGAGGACTTTGTGAAGAACATAAGATAAAAGGAACGTGTCTGTCCCAAGTCAGGAATCTCGTCAATGGTTGGCGTGTGTCATATTATGAAACAAAATTGTTGGAGAAAATTAAGTTGATGACAGATCTTTGACCCATTTCTGTAGTTTAATTACAAATTTGCAAATTTTCGTAGTTTATACAATAAAATACATATGTCAAAGCAAGTATTAGAAAGTAAACTAATATTAAGTAAATTTTTCGTTCAGTCTTCTGTTGTAGTTTCAGCTTATAAGACAATAAAAAAGGTTACAAATCTGATTAAACCCCGTTTCAGACAAGGTCTACGTTTCTAATTATAAATAAGTTACCTTCAGATGGAACGGTAAAGGGCTTCCACATCATCTTGAATGTTTGCTTCAACAATTGACAACTTCGTTAAATATACACAACTATTGTTTACTAATATACCTATACTTTCGTGTATGCACAGTTTACACTTGAAACTAACTAAAATTGAAAGCAACATCTATTGTTAGTATAAACCACATACCTTTGCAAGATGCGTCACACTTTTCACGAGGCATCTACAAGACAAAATATACAAATAGTCAAATGTATTAAAAAAATCAAAGTGATTTTGAAAATGTAAAACGATAGGTGCATGTACAGTTCACCTGAGATTTGAAATAATCAAAACTATAAACAAACGGTATACGTATAAAACTATATACAAATAGTAAACGTATGAAACCATAGTTGTTAGCATATGTAACAGAAACTCTAACATTCAAACAGAACACAAATACGATGCAAGCACCGACGATACAGACAAGCGCGATATGATTACGGGAAATTGATGTAAAATGCACAGTGTACATTGCAAGCACGTTGAGTTTTGTGCGTTTCACGGAAGATGAACGCACGATGAGGGATAAACGTTACATTGACGATGTTCACGTACTGATTAAACTAGTCATCAACCTAAATCTTAAAAAACAAATCAATTTAAATCAAACCAGTATTAACTGAACTCTAAGACGTATAAATTTTAACATGTTAAATCTTGGAGTTACTGACAACAATACATGGATCTAACTGTAAAATTAATCCAGTGTCACCAAAGCTCTAAATGTCGGTCATAGTAACTTTATTACTGTTGAAACGTATTCTATGATATCTACGTATTTGTAGAAGTGTGAACTATGTGATGTACTGCACAGGGTTTCGGATAAATGACGTGAGCTACTCAGTGTTTCAGACGGATACATTATATGAACTGCTGAAGATTTTTGATAAATGACACGAACGCAAGAGTTTACCAAATTGGAAGGGACGGACGGTAGGAAAAGGGTTATATATATATTAGAAAAACAAAGGATATGGTGTATTCATCCATGACAAAAAATCAGTACATGCATAGCAAAAAAAAAAAACACACACAAAAAGCAAAGGAACAGCGCTTTTATTGCTGTTCTTCATTTCAAAGTCACATTGAGGCCTTCATTCAACACGGAGCAAAAATACTCTCACCTCACTGCAAGCTTAAGACGGCCCCTAGCACCGGCTTGAGCGGAATTCTTTGCAAAAATAATTTGGATAGACTTTGTAAGATGTAACACCACCTAATCGGGCTCGGTCAAAAAAGAACAAACTTGAAAGTAGTACATATTTAAAACAAAATAGTTCCTACGAGTAGGTGTAAATCCTAAATTATGTAACATATATTTTAGTGATAAGGGTATCATATGAAAGGTGAAGGACTGGTGATCCTTGTAGAACACACAATTTACTGATAATTTTGAATAATACATAAATGTATGAATTAATTCTAAAATTGAGGGCATATAGCATGTTTCTCAGATATGAAGTGCCTGGTTAGGTGTATCCAAAATTTCGGTAACCAGTGCAGTAAGGTCTGATGTATAAGTTTGTTCTCAATCGTGGTTGGGTTTTACAAACCTTACAAGACGTTTGTTAGGGCTACACTTCTTTATTGTTGTATATGATGTGTACAATTTATTGATAATGTTTTGCTTAAGTTGAAATGACGTTCGGTCGATCTTGTCATACATAAAAAGAAATGATGCTTGTTGTACGTTGCCCTCTCTGTTTCATCTTTATTCTCGACCACGAGTATGGATGAACATTTATATAAACATTGTCCTTCAGTCTAACCGTTCCGATTTGGTTTCTTTTGGTCAATTTGTACGTATAGTACATATTTTAGTGACAAATCATTAAAGTCTAAAATTTCAAGATTTAAGTCGATAATCCGAAGATTAACTTTGAACATATCAGTCAGAATCTTCAAGAAGAACTTCGTTTATTCGGAGATTAATGTTGATAAATCTGGGATTTAAGGATATAATATCAAGATTAATGTTGACGCTATCCAGAAACCATCAAGATTAAAGTCGATAACCGTAGACTAAAGTTTAAAGTGTTTAGATTTAAATCGATACTTCACTGATTGTAAATTGATTTTATCATGACTAAGGTTCGCAATTGCAAGATAAAAGTCCACATAAAAAACAAATTAATAAAAAATGACCCTAATCGGCTTTTGTAATTGTATCTGTCAAAAAGGAGACAACATGTGACTCATAATCGAGGATCATTTATAATCATATTTATTAGAAGTTAAGTTGAACAACAATTTGACAACAAACGAAATGCACGTTTTAGAAAAATCTCCCAATAGAAATGATCCAATTCTCGTACGTGAATAATAAGAGCATGTCCAATGAAATCTTAAAACCTGTTTTGTTAAATGTTTTGCATCATTTATTTTACAAGAGGTCCGTCACTATTGATTAAAGATGGGGTTAGGAGTTACCCTTTCCAATATTGACCGGTTTTGTCCTTTTTGGGTTGATCAGCTATTCAGTTTTTTAATAAATTTAAATTTTCAAACATTTTGGCCTCAAACATCATTGAAGAGACATTAATTGTCGAAATGTAGATCTGGTGCTGTACAATTGATAGCATTTATATTATTTTAATTGTCCCTTTCATACTAGGACCTTAGTAATATAACGAGATCAAATAATCAGAAAGGCATATCACTTTAGACATATTTATTGTTAGTCTTTTAGATCACAATACAAAATAAATTCTCTCTAAGTTAATTGGTACAGGAAGACAAGTAAATGGTTTGGATAAAATTAAAAACATGATATTCATTATCTGCGGCTTTAAAGAGTCATGTTATACAACCAGGAACTAATAGATATATAAGTCCTAGTGTAACTATATACAAGTTTACAGAAAAAAACGCATAATGAGCGAATATTCGTTCGTGTTGCCCAGTATATTTCGCCTCTCTTTTCCAAGGAAGACACACGGATTTCATCCACAATAAACGGTTATTAGTTAACGGAAAACGCCCACAGGCAAAACGAACTATTCTTAATGAACGCATTTTCGATAAAAAAAAAAACAACAAAGCGATGAATTTTTAAATTACGTACGTTACATTGAATGAACAATGACTGAACGGGTTATGTAATAACCAGAGCGTAAAATGCAAAACAGAAGCACGGATAATGGTCAGTTTGAAATGTAATGTACAGTGTCTGTAATAAAAAAAAACTGAATGTTCTTTAATCATTATTTTTGTTTAGGCAGATGGTGACGTTAAATGGATAACATTGTCGTGCAATGTCGTACGTCAGCTTTATTGCATTTGTTTTCGGAATAAGTTCAACATCTCATAATAACATAACAAAAAGGCAAAAGTTAGATGTTTATCTTACCTTTTCTGAAAACCATAATTTTAAACAGCTGACATCGTGATGTACGTGGTGTTCTGAACATTGCCATTTTGCTGCTGTTGGTATTTTGTCATGAGGAAAAAAACATGAAGTTTTTTTGCAATGAACTCCAAACTCTATTTCAAATGGCATGACAATATGTAAATCCGATCTTTGATTTGTGGCAAATGACTCTGCTGAAAGAGTTGAGTAAAATTCTGAAATTCTGTGAATAGCTGCAGTCAGACATTCTTGGACCGAAGTTGCAATTGTTGGGACAATGTTTTCTTTCTTGTCTGCATGGATAAGTGACACAACCACTCTATTTTCTATAACCTGCACTGCCACATCATGTCTGTCGTCTACTTTCACAACTGCTAAATCGCTGAAAAGCATTCGTTTCTTGTTTTTATAATGTTTCACTCCCCACATGTCTACAAAAGAAGCAATAAATCTGTATGGAAAGGCTGGCGGTATTACTTTCTTAGTGAATTTGTAAGACAGCAAGATTGAAGTTCCAGTCTTACAACATTTTTTCAGGTACTTCGTATTGTTTGGCCTTGTAATCATTGATGGAACAATGAATTTGGAAACTTCATGAAGTGAAGTGTTCAAATCTTCTGTGATCCTTCTTTCAGCAACTAGTATATCAAGATGAACCAAAACTTCAATGATGAAATCTTTATATGACAGAATATGCTTAAAATTCTGTTGGTTCCACAGGACATCAATGTCGTCACGACTGAGCGATCCTGTTTTCTGCATGGTATGGAAAATACTTTGAAATTGTTTCCCTTTTGGCCAAAATTGCTTCTCTGTTACAATAGATCTTAGAACTTCCACCAAGTATGCTGGTGTAATGATTACAAAATCTCGAAGATTGGCTACGTCAAAGTAGAGTAATTTACCCAGGGAATGTTGTACTTTAAGGAAAGTTTCCAACTGTTTATCTGTCAATACCATCGGCTCATTTTGAGAATTAAACATCTGTATTTTTTGTTTTGTCAAGATGTTAACACCTTTCTCTGATTTCTGGGCTAGATGTAATTCTAATGGGACCCAGGCTGTTGGCATGTTTTCACCCCATCGCGGATGCTCTTTAGCTCTATCCATCAAACGTTGACGTAATGCTTGGATCTCGGGATCAGCTTCGTTCATAGCATTGACGAAAATCAGTGGTTTGAATTCAAGATGTTTGAGCCCTGCGTGTGATTGAAATATGTCTTGAATGACTGTCATCAATTTCTGTTTGTGTTGCTCAGTATTCTGAAAAAATGTACGGTGAAAGTAAAAATCAACATTCTTTTCACAGTTACTTTGTTATACTACATCCAATCGTGAAAGGTAGAACATCAAAGAAAATAATGCAACACATTATCATGATTCATTAATCTGTGATGTTCCCAAAGATTTTATGAGTTTCCGCAAGTGTGAGCATATTTGCAAAAGCAAACAGGGACAAACATATATAGAGGAACCAAAAACATAATTAGCTCTATCGCATACAACAGTTGGGGAGATTAATATATATTTATCCGTGTTTGAATTCCGTAGGAAAAAGTCAACATTTCCTGAACAAGTAATATGCTTGATGTCTTAGTGAAAACGATTACCAATAAACAATTACCTTAGACAATTTTCAATTTTTAAGTTTTACATTGCATTTCTCATTTGATAAGTTACACTCGTTCATATTGGCATGATACAGACTTTGTTAACAGGGATGTGCTATTGACACAAACAATGCTCCATCAAAATTATGAGGAAGAACGACTGAAATTGACTCTGTATAAGGTTAATGGTGAACCACAACATCGGTTAAGCTTCACGGTGGGTATTCGTCTTCACACACTGGCGAAAAGGTTTTGCGGTCTAAGTTCTTGAGGTACCGGACAAGTTGTCTAAATTAACCGATTGTCCTATTCCCTATTGTGACATTATGATTGAAGTGAATTCGAACAGACGTGTGATGCGTTTTTCGTTTCAAGTTTTATTTTGATTAGCATTTCTGTATAGATTTATGAGATTTAAACATCCGTTGCATATTGTTGCCTGCTAATTCGCCCTTTATAGCTTCTATAAACAGTTCATACTGTCACACTTTTAAGATCTTTAAAGATGCGTCTAATTTGGACCGTAGCAAATGTTAATTCGTTAAAATATTGTGTTGTAGTTCAGGTAGATACAGCCATTTCAATTGATAGTTTATAGTATGTCTTTTAATGTTGTAATATTACACTACTGTTTCAGGTTAGGGTGAAGGTTGGCGCCTGTTAAAACATCATTTAAACCCGCTGCATCTGTATGCACCTGTCCAAAGTCAGGAGCCTCTTGTAAAGTGGTTGTCGTTTGTTGGTGTGGTTCATAGGTGTTTCTCGTTTTTTATATAGATTAGACCATTGGTTTTTCTGTTTGGATTGTTAGCCATTTAAGGCGATATAATTTGTATATAGGAATGTTCAAGAAATTTCCATTTCTTACTTTGAGCTAGAAAACAAGTTTGGTGACATGTTTTCTTTTTCTTTTCTTAAAGCATATTATAAAACCTATTATCGCATATTTGATCTCAAAATGCTATCTCATAGAATTCCTTTTATATTCACAAAACAGTATTTTCCATGAATATTGTATTCAAATTTAAGCAAATTGTGTTCGACTAGTAGTTTGAAAAATAGAAGGTTACACATACTCTTTTTTTTTTACATTTTAGGAACAAAACATAGTAAAATCTAAATTTTGGCAAAATATAAAAACACTCTATCTGAGGACATTGGACTGATGATCCATCTTAAACGATGTATTAAATTCCTCTACCAAATAGAAATATACCAGCATAGAGGAAAATCAAAAAAGTATTCAGAACATGTGATTTGTGCACTGATACTGAAACCATACGCATTTGTTACAATGTATATACATTTAATAGGGGTAATTATGGGTAAATTTAACCGTATTTGGCACGGCATTTTGGAATTTTCGGTTATTAATGCTTGCGACACACGAAGAGCAGGATCTGCTTACCCTTCTGGGACACTTGAGATAACCTCGTTTTTTGTTGTTGGGGTTCATGTTGCTCTGTCCTTTGTGTTCTTATTGTGCTTCACATAGTATTGTTTGACTATTGGACTTTTTCGTTTTTTGTTTTTTGTTTTTCTTTTTTTTGGCGAAGGCGTTGTCAGTTTATTTTCGACTTATGAATTTATATGCCCCTTTGGTATCTTTCGCCTCTCTTTTTTTTATAACTTCGATTTTAATTTGGCTTTGCAACAGTTTATATTTGATGAAGACATAATCTTTTAATCAGTTTAATTGAAGTCTGGAGCTGGCATGTCAGTGACTGCTAGTAGTCCTTTGTTAATTTATGTATCATATTCATTTTGCTTTGTTTCTTTTGATACTTATTCTCATATCGGACTCGGACTTCTTTTTAACTGAGTTTTAATGTTCGTATTTCTGTGTGTTTGTTTATTCTACGTTGGCTAGAGGTATAGGGGAGGATTGAGATCTCACAAAACATGTTAAACCCCGCCTAATTTTTAAGACGTCCAAAGTCAGGAGCCTCTGGCCTTTGTTAGTCTTGTATGTTTTTTAGTTCATTTATATGTTTTTGAATTTAGTATGACGTCCATTTTCACTGAACTAGTTTGCGGGATTTTCTCGCTGTGTTGAAGACCCATTGGTTACCTTCGGTTGTTTTCTGCTCTTTGGTCGGGTTGTTGTCTCTTTGAAATATTCCCCATTTTCATTCTCAATTTTATGACAATGCCATGGCAAAAAAAAAAAACAATACGAAAAATGGAAAAAAGAAAAAAGAAAGAAAAAAAACTGTACACAAAACACATAACAAAACACTACACAAAACTAGATATTGAGCAACACTAACCCCCATCAAAAAACGGGGGTGATATCAGTTATTCCGGAAGGGTAGGCAGATCATGTTCCACATGTGGCACCCGTCGTGTTGCTCATGTAAGTACAAACCCGGGGAAAACAGGACTGGATTACGGTTAGGACAAATGGTATATACCCGTCATGATAGCATCCGTTAAATTTTCGAAGGAATTAATTTTACTTGATCACCTGGAACTCTTGGTTTAATAGCTTTTTTTTTATGAAGCAATCCTAATATTTCGTTTATTATAAAACCTTTCCAAGCGAATATTTACATGAAATACAGTTTACAAAACATATGATTCGAAGATTCACATAGAAAAATGTTAGGCACTCAGGCACTCAAGGTACATCACTTTCACAAATTACCACAAACAGATTTCATTACATTCCGTATTAAAAAAATCAAGCAACAGTGTCCAATACTGTGCACACACATAAAAAAAAAAACCAACCACGCATAGTGTCCAATACTATGCGGACAAAAACCACGCAACAGTGTCCAATATTGTGCAAAAAAAAAAAAAAAAAAAAAAAAAAAAAAAAAAAAAACACGCATCAGTGTTCAATACTGAGCGGACAAAAACCACGCAACAGTGGGCAATACTGTGCGGACAAAATATCAAAACTAAATTTAAATGAATATTTATATAGCACAATTTTCTATGAATCTATAAAGGTCCTCCCTAGATCTGCCCAGAATAAGAAAAATATAAAACTAATATACCTATCATCTCCAAATATTCTCCAACTGACCTAAATAATCTCCAAATATTCTCCAACTGACCTAAATAATCTCTAAATATTCTCCAACTGACCTAAATAATCTCCAAATATTCTCCAACTGACCTAAATAATCTCCAAATATTCTCCAACTGACCTAAATAATCTCCAAATATTCTCCAACTGACCTAAATAATCTATTCTCCAACTGACCTAAATAATCTCTAAATATTCTCCAACTGACCTAAATAATCTCCAAATATTCTCCAACTGACCTAAATAATCTCCAAATATTCTCCAACTGACCTAAATAATCTCCAAATATTCTCCAACTGACCTAAATAATCTCTAAATATTCTCCAACTGACCTAAATAATCTCTAAATATTCTCCAACTGACCTAAATAATCTCCAAATATTCTCCAACTGACCTAAATAATCTCCAAATATTCTCCAACTGACCTAAATAATCTCCAAATATTCTCCAACTGACCTAAATAATCTTCAAATATTCTCCAACTGACCTAAATAATCTCCAAATATTCTCCAACTGACCTAAATAATCTCCAAATATTCTCCAACTGACCTAAATAATCTTCAAATATTCTCCAACTCTGTGTTTACAAAAATAAAACATATACATCATATAAAAGTATTTACTGCGTGACCTAGAGAACATGCTATGCTAATCTCTTATAGCAGGATAGCTATTTGACTTAATGACTTTAACCGACGATAACCAACACTTTAATATGACAAAGTTAACTACAGTGGAAGATAAAATAACACTATAACATTCCTTCCCCTCTAAATGATGACAGACCCAGTCATAGAACTCTACTTCTATCATTTCTATTTTAACTAAATAAAACAAAATGCAACTACTACTATCATTTACACACACATTAAACTTCAACACTAATTATTCACTATCTCTACAATGAAGACAAATGGCTCAGTACATATCAATAAGGACCCATTTAAAACACAATGAAACTGTTTAACAGTAAATGTGTTTGCTGACATAAAATGAAACTCAGATATTGTAGTAATGATAAGGCAATCAAATCACTTACTAAATAAAATAAATTAAATGTTCAAATAAAATCCAACAATAACACCATTATAAATTGTCTGCACTTGTAAATCTTTAATTTTCATATTTTTGAATGTTCATTGACTTCACTAACGATATTTATAGCCAAGGCGGAAAAGTCTATTTCTTCTAGATTCAATCCGTTTGAATAATGAATACGGTTTTCACGTACTGTTTCTGTCACCCCAGTGGAATAAGAAAAGTCTCTTCGCGTTACTGCGATGATAATAGTTGTAATTGTTTCATCTACAATATCCCGAGAAGAACTACACATATCATCAGATATCAAAGTATCTGTTATAGAAATAATGCCATTTCCAGAGTTGTCTTCGTTGTCTTCTGATTAATTTGCATCATCCGCAGCTAGCTTGAATTCATGAGAAATATCATAAAACGTTTTGTCCAAATTATCTAAATTTTCCTCTTCATCTATGAAAATTTCATTGTCCGAAACATCATTGTATAAAATTGGATAAAATGTTGTATAAGGATCTTCCGGTAATGGTTCCACCTCAAGCTCTGTATTGGAATTTTATATTACACTGTCAATATAAAAACTTGGCACATTGGAGTACACTTTTTGTGCACTGATATCCTTAAATTCCAATTCATCTTCTGAAATGACGGAATAATCACATACATGAATAGGGTTCCATCTTTCTTTTCGTTTGTCCTCTGCAGAAATACATGCGGCTTCTACCTCGTTCGCTTTTTCTTGTGTGGCCCATCATTACGTACTTGAATAATCGAAACAAAATTATTTGATGAAACACTTACACGTCAGAAATATTCACATTCGAAAGTAGCACTATCTGGTTACCGATGTGTTTTAATATTTAAAGCCACTATTTGTTCATGTTGGATCCCACTTCTGACACCAAAAATGCCATGGCGGTCGAGTATCATAAAACTTTCAGGTCAGGCCGGGTACATTGAAATAACGGACAATTTGACGACAGATAATCCAGTGATGCGTAGTCTTGTTGTTAAATGAAAAATATACTAGTAAATCGACAAATCTTTCGTTTATTATAAATCCTTTCCAAGGGAATATTTACATAATATACAGTTTACAAAATATATGATTCGAAGATTCACATAGCAAAAAGGTTAGGCACTCAGGCACTCTTGGTACATCATTTTCACAAGTTACCACAAACGGATTTCATTTAATTCCGTATAAACAAATTAAGCAACAGTGACCAATACTGTGCACACACAAAAGAAACCACGCATAGTGTTCATTACTATGCGGACAAAAAACCACGCAACAGTGTCCAATACTGTGCAGACAAAAACCACGCATCAATGTCAAATACTGAGCGGACAAAAACCACGCAACAGTGTCCAATACTGTGCTGACAAAACATCAAAACTAAATACAAATGAATAGTAGTATAGCACAACTTTCTATGAATCTATAAAGGTCCTCCCTAGATCTGCCCAGAATAAGAAAAAACTTAACCTTATATACCTATCATCTCCAAATATTCTCCAACTGACTTAAATAATCTCCAAATATTCTCCAACTCTTTGTTAACAAAAATAAAACATATACATCATGTAAAAGTATTTACTACGTGACCTCGAGAACATGCTATGCTAATCACTTATAGCAGGATATAGCCTTTTGACTTAATGACTTTAACCGACGATAACAAAAACTTTAATGTGACAAAATTAAAATTAACTAAAAATTAAAGATTAAAAAACACTCTAACAGGGGGACCAAACTGAATAATTATGAAAACAAAACTATTATTTTTGAAAATTGGATAAGAAGTAACTTGATATTTGTCAATGATATTATAGACGAAACAAGTGATATATCTCAACATTTTATCTTGCAAAAATTAGTCTGTAACAATAATTTGATAGCAGAAACAAATATTTTGAAAAAAACCATCCCAAAAGACTGCTTTCAGATGTTAAAGTCTAAAAGTTCAATTAAGAGTATTTTGTATATTCCTAGACATACATTGATTTTGAAAGGTAATTTCATCGAGTCTTCAAGTTTTTCAACAAGCATATTATACAAGTCAATTTGTTAAGGTACAATTCAACCCTCAATTGGTGTTAGCAAATGGATGCATATTTTACAAATTAATGAGAACCTTACTATTAATCAGGTATATGTTCTATGTTTCATTATTTAAAAGAGAATAAGTAGAAAATATATTGATGGAAACTTTTACAAGTCCTTCAACAATGAGCAAAGTTCATAGTCGCATTAAAAAACGAAATGACAAATGTAAAACAATCAAACGAGAAAACAAACGGCCTAATTTATGTACAAAATAATGAACGAAAAACAAATACAAATATGTTACACAGCAACAAAGGATACCACTGAATTACAGTCTCCTGACTTGGGACAGGTATATACAGAATGTGGCAGGGTTAAACTCGTTTTAAGGCGCGAACCCTCCCTCATCCTGCGACAGTGGTGCAACAGTACAACATAAGAACAAACAATAAAAATCAGTTGAAAAAAACTCATCAGATGGATACAATTAGAAATAAACCTAACAAAAACACAGAGTGAACATGGACGGGTACTTATACATCCACACAACAGAAAGACACTAAGTACAGATCTGAGAGTACCCGCATTTACTGATAGCAAGTTCAAAGCCAATAACAACTAATCATGCATCTTAAACTAAAATATCAAACTGTACACATCCAACATCCAATGTGTATGTTTGTACAATGAATGACTAAGGATAATATTTCTGCAACCAAATATGACAAACTCAAGTGTAAATCATTCATAATAATTATAGTAAAATATCATTAAAAATAGTATACTGATAATTTGGTACGCGAGACTTGTTAAACTTGAAACGCAACAAGTCACACAATTATTGCTTTAATTCAATATTCAAAAAAATACATTACCTTACGGATCTTGTCTTTATGTGTTGCAACGAACACAATTCTTGGAAATCCATCATCTGAACGCTTGCAGTATGTCAGGATTGAGTTCACCCAGTGCAGAAGGTAAACTGAAAAGAAAATTATAAACATAAACAAACTATAGTTAAATACAATAACACATAACTTAGTGTCAGATTCAGGGTTAAATATATGATAGATGTACATGAGACACTGGACATACAGTAAAATAATTTCAACCTTAATGAGAAGATCCCTTATATTTGTCTTTAGAATATCAAGTAAATAAATAAGTTCAACGGGAAGGTGTCTATACATGTATAACATAGGCATGCATGAAATATGAATATATCACTTTTATGCTGTTAAACATCCACTCATCATCGCTGTTCATTTTGTATCTGCTATGCCGACAGTTAATCATTTACAAATAATAATTGCAACTTTATCAGCTACACACATTTGAAATCCAAAGGAGGTATGGATACCTGAATGCGTGAGAAGGTATATGAATAATGTAGACATACAAAGAAAAATCAAATCCACTAGGTAAACTTTGCCAACATCTATCAATGGAGAACTTAAGGAAAGTGTGTTATAAATCATGTCACTTTAGTAATTTACACGTTATATATAGCTTACGTCCATTGACACCCAAGACGTCACAACAGAAACGGATATCATAAAAAAAATGGAAGATACCAAAGTTACAATCAAAATTCATAAAACGAAAGGAAACCGACAACACTTATACAAAGAAAACGGAAAAACGAACAAAAGATTATGAACAGTGTAGAAAGCTAAAGACTGAACATTTGTAAATAAACCTCATTTTGTTAAACAAGTTGATTTGCTTTTTTTATGCCTTAATGAGCCGAATCAACTTTTAATTTCGCTGTTTTCTTTGTTGGTCCTTTGTAAACGGTTTTCAAAATGTTTACCTTTAATAAGGTACACGAACAAAATTGGGGATAATCTCAGAATAAGCAGTTATGTTTCACATTGCAATCGGAACATATCTTCGGTCATTTGTGATACATATATTCCATAACAGGCAACCAATTCATTATGGCGTCCATAAAACGTGTGAAGGGAAAATTTCAACTTTACCACTCGAAACACATGGTTTAAAAGCTTCCAAGTAAGCCACATGCCTAAGACATATTTCCAGAGGTTTACTAACATCGATGATCTATGAAATATTTCTAGAGGTTTACTAACACCCTTTTGTTTATCTATGTGATATTTGTGGATATATTTATTTACAGCAGTATTTTATTTGAATGAAATTAACCTCACCTGCGATGGTTGGTTTGCCGAAATGTCCTGGTACAAATGATAAATCGGGCATATGTTTATGCAGATTAAGGCTACCATTAAACACCAACACAAATATTCCTCTGCTCGTGATGAAGAGTTGATGAGTCATGTAGTAATCTTTCTGCCCTCCAAAATCCCAGATATCAATAGGGATAATATTCTGCTTATACTTCCCTTCTCGTATAGAGCTGATTACCATTTCACGAAGTTTGTCATGCGACAATTCATTGGCCACTTCTTTCATTAACTTTTCTTTGATTTTTTCTCTTACAGGTTTATTACTTTTACTTCTTTCTTTCTTTGGATATAAAGCAGTACCGGAATCGGACTTCGTCGCGAGATCAAAATAGTCATTCGGTGTATGTAATACCTGTAATCTTTGCATTCTTATTCCCGCAACAGAATCATTAGACTTATTTGTTTCTAAAGCGACTTCAACTGCTATGCTACCTACTTTTGGCATATCCGTTGAAGCAATAGAGTTTGCTTCATCAACAGCTGGTGAATACATTTCTTCAAAGATCAAATCTGACGATCTGCTTTGTTTAGGTTGAACTTCTGACGTAATGCCTTCTTTTGGGAGATGATCTGATGTACTGCTTTCTTTTGAAAGAATTTCTGACGGACTGTGTTCTAATTCATCTACAGCGGACGTTCTACTTTCTTCAGGAAATAACCCTGATGTATTGGTTGCTGCATCACAAATACCAAAAGCATGGCTTTCTGTATCAGCTACGATTTTTTTACTTTTTCTTTTCAAAGGTATACTTTGTTTTGCATTTGGTTCATCTAATGCGTTTTTACCGGATACAGTTTGAACACTTATTTCTGCTGAAATTACAGTTTGCAACTTAGATTCGTCACCAGTATCACAGATGTGGCATTTTTCCTCGGAAAGACAAGCTGTAAAAATGTAATCGTGAGCATCACAGCTGTCTCTTGGATAACTTTCTGAAATGCGTTCTTCATGCACGTTACTTTGAGCAAAGTTTTCTAAAAGTTTAACTTCTACATGGCCGCTGCTTTTAGTAACTTCACTCCCATGGAGGTTTTTCTCTGACTCATCTAAGTGTGTTGTCTGGTTTCTTGTGTCTAAATATTCAGGTGTTGACAAAGTCATCATCATGCTCACCAGTATTTCTTGAACAGCTTTACCTTAAGAGTAAAATGTGACTGTATAAATACTATTGTTAGTATTGAGTTGAGGATAAAACATAAGAAAATAGTAAAGACCTATTTGTTATAATTTATTAATATATATCTGCACTATCAAATTGACTAAATCTTGAAAATGTTTAACATTTCAATTATTAGTTCAGCTCCATATCAACATGAACAAATTTTATACTAGTACTTGCCACTCGCTGATCATAATTTTATACAAAGCCATTTGTTTAAACAGTGTATCATCACTCTGATGATTACATACATGACAACATAAGACACATGGGGCAATTGGCATATGTTTTCATTGATTAAGTCAGATAATTATTTATTTGGATTGCCATTCCAGTTTTTCTGTGTGATGTTTGTTCTCTTCAATTTCACATATTAAGACAAACTCAGATATCACATTATACATAATGTTACATATCAGTTTTGGCTGAAACCAATGTTTGTTAGTGCATTGTTCATTTTATTGAGATTGATAAATTGTTTGTGAAAACAACGAATGAAGATGAGATAAGAGTTACACGAAAAAATAAAATTGGTTACAAATACTTTTACAATCTCACCTTTAGGAATAACAATCCATTCTTCGCCGTTTAGATCCATACCGGCTCTTCCCATATATATCCATATCCCATCCGTTGATTCTCGTTCTTGTGGTAATGCATCCCCAACCAGAAGTTTTGCCAGACAACTTTTTCCAGAAAAATAAGGCCCAATAATATATACTCTGTTCCAGAAACATTTAAAAGTTCCAAGTTCCTTAAGATCATCCGCTGTTGCCAAACCAAGACCTCTTAGTTCTGCTCTAAATTCTGTTTCTATGATTGGAAAATACATTATTAGCATAGTTTACGAATTTTGAATGCGTTTTGCCCCCTTAAGTTAAAAACAAAGTAGCATTAGAGAAAGATAAGATTTAAATTAACCGTAGGGTGTTGTAAATACAAAGTAAGTAAAATTCGTCTAAACAAGCTGCTGTTTAACAATGAAGTTAGTATGTTGCAGCGATTTATGAAAAAAAAAGAAAAATACAGAAGACATGAAAACAAAAATAGTTGCATATTGGGCAAACCTTAACACACACTATGCACTGAACGTTTCCCCGAATGTTAGTACATAACTATGTTGTACTGTCTGGTTATTCCAATGATCGAAATGTGAAAGTTGCGATTATAAGCTCAAATATCATAATCAATGTCACATGCGTATGCGATTGTTCCAAGTCAGGTACCAGTGTTTTATTTCATAACAATTGATAAAGGACAGTTATAAAACAAAGTAGATCGTTGATAGTTTCTGTTAAGTTAATGTAACCTAGTGATTGTTAGGACTGTTTGAATATAGTATTTGCATATATATTATAGTATAACATGAGATAATATAGAGTGATTGACAATAAGACACCAACACACCAGAAACCAAATGACTTGTACCGATCTTTATAAGATATAAAAGTCTCTGACATGACATGATATGACATTATATTAATTCATTCAAATGATAGACGGATCAGAATTAGGCGGGTTGAGTCGTGTTATTGGGTGTTAAACCCTTCTTATTACATCAACAGTGATGTTACAGCACAACATAAACACATAAGGTTAGAATCAATTGGAAACAGCAATAAGCACAAGACAAAACAACAAACAAAGAAACGAATGACACGAAATACACGTGATAAGAGTACTCTCTGTTACTGAAAGCTGGATCTAAGCCAATTACATCTTATAAACACATCATGACAAATTTACATTAATAGTTAGGATGTGCTATCCCGTTTGTAATAAGGTTCCTGCTAAATACTTGCATCTATATTTGACCAGTGGTTTACCAGTTCTATATAATTTACCTTGATTGAAATATCAAATGTCACTTCAGGTGTAATACCACCAAATCATAGTACGTCACATCCGGTTAAATACGAAAAAGGGTCGAAAGAAATATTCTCTTGAATTTGACAGTTGTAGGAAATTATTCCTACATTTCATTGCAATACAAATATTCTGAGTCATAAACTTATATCTTAGGTGTTTCAAAGCATCATTATTTTTTAATTTGTGGTTTCTATAGAATATTTTGTAAACTTGAGTTTACATGATTACTGAAGCTTGTACACAGGAAAAAAAGGGGTGAACATTTGATTGGTTAACTTCCAGTGATGGTTATTTTCTTATATGCAATGAAATGTTATGTGAAATTTTGTCTATAGTACTAGACAGGATAAAACTTTACTCATGCTAAGTATTTCTTTATTTGAAACAAAGATACATTCTGCACATTTTTTTGAAAAGAGCAAATTTAACAAAGACTAATAGGGGAAATCAATGGTGGTATTACACTTTCAGACACGGGCATATCGAACGAGATTGGTAATATGATCGCAGAAAAAGAAATATCACTGTCCACAAAAGGAAATTAAACAATAAAGATCGAACAATCGTCACTTGTGAGTAAAGTTACGCATATGGAAATAAGATTTCGAAATCTAAATACAAGACAATTAATACTGTTGCATTTTTGTTGAGTCAGTTACCATTGCTAAATTTCAAAAGTATAATTATAGAACTCATGATTAAAAAAAAATGATTAGGGGAATGGTAACTGTTTAAGAATCAGTCGGTGTCAATTCGACGGACACATGAATTGTCTCCCGTCTTGTTTTCATCACACAGTTAACTATTATTTTACAAGTAAAACAATCAAAATTTACCGACAGATATATGTCGACATTGTTTAGATTTATAAATATTTGGCTACCTGAAGAGTTCTAAGTTGTATTCATATTGTTTGACACGTAGATTACATAATAATCACAAGTATTCATTTTTGTCTTTAGTGAAATTAGGTATGAGAATTTTAAAAACACTAATGTATTAAGATTTATAAAGCATGCCAGTTTTAACACAGGTGCTTGGTAGGCAAACTCAAATGCGAAAGTTAAAAAGCAGCCAGTACCAAAAACTCCGAAACATTATATTAAATACGGTTAAAACAATCTACATGTAAGACTTTAATTAGAAAAGACTTACTGTTGACAATAATTCAACACTTTATAAAAAGAAAATTTACAAGAAATAAACAAATCAATGATATTTCAAGTCAACACATATGTGCTGACTACTGTGCTTGTGGCACTGTCGGCGAAAAAACGTCTACCAGCAGTTTGATCTACCTAGTTTAGTGTAGTTGTTATGAAACCTCATCCATGTTACAATGCTTATAATTTGGTAAGCCAGATGCCAATTGCACCTACATAAGTCTCATCATTGACGCTTGAAACACAACAGTTGGAAGGCAATATAAACAATGAGGTTAAGGAGCATTAAAAAAGCAAATCGAAAAGTTGTGCAAAACACGGCGAAGCCAGTCTTCATCCTGAGATAGAAAACCTTGGTGTTTCCAACCACTAAACATTTGATCAGCTGTAAAATTGCAGCGTACAATTGTTATTTTATGTAAACAAAACAACTGGAACAACTGGCGATAACTTATGGGATGAAACTTCCACAAGCAGTTGAATAGACAAGGCATCAATGATTAGATTATCGACCAAGTGGTTGTAAAATAGTATCAAGTATATCTGGCTTATAATTTGGTTCCAACTAATACCTTTTTTTTTTAAATCTAAGATATCCTTACTAACATAAGGCGGCTAATACTATTTCATATAATTTCAACTTATTTTTAGTTTGATAAATGAAATAATTAAAAGTTGCTAAGCGAACGAACACCACAAAAGTGTAAAATTCCTAATATTGATTCATTTTAAGGATGCAATATACAAAAAAAAAAGAGGAAAACCTGTTATCAGATTTATTATGTACATCAGTATTTTCTTTTCATGTTGAATTTGATTAAATAAATCACCAAACCAGTGTTTATCAAACCACATGAATAACAATGGAAACCTATTCCACCAAATATTTATTTTACCACAAGACGGTGCCATACGTACATTAGAAATTGTTGACCCTTCCGAAGTATGTTGGTTCAACCCGTCTGTTTGTGGTTTGGTTCTTATGTATTGTATGTAATATTTTGTCGTTATTTGTCCCTTTAGTATTTAATGTAATATGTTGTTGATGTTTATCGTTGTTGTTGTTTTTGTGAGCTATGATCTTGTTTTAAGTAGTGGGCTGACAACCTAAGAGTTGCTCTTTGATATCGTCTCACCTTTTTCTTGCAGCTAAGCTTAAAGGACTATGGT